TTGAGTTCTAAATAGGTTCCAAATCACTTCACAAAAATTATGAATATAGGTCCATTTTTTCTGGTAGCCCCCCATATAAGGGTACCCCCAATTTTCGGTATTTTGGGGTTCTTGAGCGCGTTTTTCAACCGAATTCGCTGAAATTTGGTACATTGGGTTCCTATTGGGTACCAAATATCTCCACTAAAAATTATAAATATAAGTCCATTTTTCTGGTAGCTCCCATATAAGAGTACCCCCAAATTTCGGTATTTTGGGGTTCTTGAGCGCGTTTTTCAACCGAAATCACTGAAATTTGGTATTTTGTAATATCCTAAATCTCCCTACCAAAAATTATTAATAGTCAACCTCTTTTAGGCGTTGTCCCCATTTAACCCCATTTTTTTTTTTATATTAATATAATTATCTGATTTTTCCGCGTTTTGGGTTTGGTTCTAACACTCTGTTGTAATCATTTCACCTGCGAAGGATACCGAGATAAAAAAACAAGAACGTACGGTTCGATAATGAACTATATGTGAACTATAGCCCGCATTTAGGCTTAGCCGTAGCCCATGTGTGGGAGGTACCAAAAGGCATGGACCGATATTCCCCAAATTCGGACTTGAACTAAGTTTGGAAGACATAATAAGATGGGATGGGAAGACATAATAAGATAGGGCCAATATTTCACACGTTGCAAACTCTTGGGCCACACAATGTTTAGCCTAACAACAAAGGTGTGAATGGTAAAAAACAGCAGTGACCAAAATAGGTTTCATGGGCTGTCGGTGCGAATCATATTTTTCACATACACAATTATAAAAAACGAGAAACATCCCAGTAGAAAATACTATCTTCCATGACAATTTCGTTGACGAAATTTATGGAATTGTCATTCATGACTAGATACATGATATGTCATCGAAAATGTCGTTCTTCTCGATATATGAAAACAAAACAAAAAATTGTCTGAATCGATCGTACTATGAAATATTAATAGAAAAAAATAGAAAATTCTTTCAGAAAAATATATAAGAAATTTAGGATTTGGTTAAAATATTTAGGTAAGTTTAACTGAATATATAATTATTTATGTCATTATTTAGATGCATCGTTTTATTCTTAGGATGGTGCAGATAAATGGCAATTGGTCAAATATTGTAAGTAATATCTGAAAGATTTTTCATATTTTAATGAAATGTAATTTTGATGTTTCTTTGCAGATGATGTTAAAATGGAGAAATCATTTCGCCAACTTCTCAGGCAATGTGTTTATTTATGTTATTATATGATATTAAGTATGTTTATTTTTTTACATGCTATAAAAATATAAGTTGAAAATGTATATATTTTCATTTGAAATTTTATGGGGCTCTAAGGTTGATGACAATAGTTATTCTGTCGTCAACGACTGTGTAAACGACATAGTTGTTCACATAGTCTTCAACGACAATATCGCTTACCCTGTCGCCCAAGTTGTCTTGCATAAATGCTGCGACACTTGTGAGTTGTGTGCACAGTGTCTTCAAGGAATTGCTATTGTTTTACACAATTCGTTAATGTTGTGTGCAAGACACTCTCTTCATTTTCGTTTTCACACACTGAGCGAAAAAATACGGATATTTTCGACAAAAATTAAGTGATTATTTATACTCGTTCGAGTCGAGCTTGATGATCTAAGTTTTGCAATGAAAAGGAAAGCCAGGAGAAGAACCTACGTACCCACCATTATGCGACGCGTTTCGCCGTTCGTTAAGCGGCTCATCAGGTATATTGGGCTCTGTTGGATTTACAAAGGTCGTACGTTAATAACTTGTATTTATTCCGCGCTGATGCGAAACTTGCATATGCGAATTAAATTCAAATTTGTCAAATTTCGACATTTGTCTTCAATTTTAGGAACAGTTTTTTTCAAAGTAGATTTTTGTTGTAGCGATGGATAATTAATCCACACACCTACAATTGCCTCCATGGTATACACACATGTTTTTGCGCAACCGTTTTGGAAGTGTGTTGATGGCTCAGAACGTTAAGTGGTCTGGCAACAATTGTGTTGCACTGAGGACCTAAGTTCGAGCCCTAGCCGTGTTCAGCTGAAATTAATTTTTGTTATTTGAATTTCGTCTTATAAGGGCAGTGATCATTTGAAAGTAATTTTACGTAATTATTTGTACTCTTTCGAGTCGAGCTTGATGATCTAAGTTTTGCAATGAAAAGGAAAGCCATTCGACATTTGTCTTCAATTCAAGGAACAGTCCTTTTCAAAGCAGATTTTTGTTGTAGCTTCATTGCAAAACTTAGATCATAAAGCTCGACTCGAAAGAGTATAAATAATCACTTAGAATTACTTTCAAATGATCACTGCCCTTATAAGGCGAAATCCAAATAACTAACAAGCTTATTTGGATTGAATGCAAAATGTTGTTCTTCCTTAATCCTTTGTGGCCCTATTTTTTCTTTCCGTAGACATAGCACGATTTTCTGTTCAGAGATTTAATGCAACTATCCTATATAGGATATGAATAAAATTTGAAATCGCTACATCATTACATTCGGGAGATACAGTACATTTTTTCTGAAAAAAGTCCAATATCCAGAAAACCAAATTCTAAATCGACGGAAAATCAATTCTCTATATTCTTTTTTACAAGAATCAAAAATAATTCTGATGACAGAATTCGTACAATTCGAATACGAAGCGATTTAACCCTTTGAGCCCCGAATTTTTTTCCCTAATCATAGAACAATTTTCTGTTCCCAGATTTAATGCAACTACCCTTGATAGGATATGGGCAAAATTTGACATCGCTATATCCTTGCATTCTTTCTGAAAAATAAAAGGCCAATATCAAGAAAACCAAATGCAAAATCGACGAAAAAATAATTTTAAATTATTCTCAACATTCTGTTTTACAAGAATCAAAAATATTTCTGATGACAGAATTCGTACATTTGGAATACGAAGCGATTTAAATAATTTGAACTGTATACACAAATTAGTACTGTACACATTTTTGCCCTTTTCTCTGTACTAAAAAGCTCATAACTTTACCAAAAATTTTAATTTTTTAGATTTTTCTCGTGATATGTGTCGTCCATAATCTGGTCTTGACATAGGGAATCCAAAGAATGCATATCTACTAACTGTATAATAAATATAAGCTCTAAAACATTTTGTTGCCTGTGGGCAGCATTGGGCCACAAAGGGTTAAATATTTTGGACTATATACACAAATTAGTACTGTACATATTTTTGCCATCTTCTCTATATTGAAATACTCATAACTTTACCAAAAAGTTGAATTTAAGATTTTTCTTTTGATATGTGTTGTCCATAAGCAGATCTTAACGTATGAAATCCACAGAATGTATATATCTACTAACAGCATATTTAATATAAGCTCTAAAATATTTTGTTGCCTGTGGGCAACATTGGGCCATAAAGGGTTAAAATTAAACATTAATTTTTTTTTACAATTTTTTCATTGTTTAATGACAGAGAGTAATTTTAAAAATTGTGCATTTGAAACAAATACAATCACAAATTGTGGACAGCTCTGCTATCTCAAAAAATACCAAAATAACATTAATGCAAATAAACTATAGTTATTGAACATTTAATCATTCTACTATTTTCGTTTACTTGTTGTAAATACAAGGGCAAAAATCTAGACAAGATAAATGGAAACACAGCTAAAGTCCCCTTCAATTTATCCGGACAAATCTGCTTTTTTACGCCATCTGTTGCATTTTCCTCTAAATTGGCAACACTGTCTATGTCTTTTTATTCGTTCGTTTAGTTTGCGTTTATTTCAACACCGGCCGGTCGCGAATTCTTATCGTCAAACAAAACGTTTAAATTAAGTGGAATAATTAGCTAGAAATCCTAAAAATGTGTATAATATTGTAACTAAATTTCCAAATCACCGATTGATAATAAAATATAAGTGTTTTCGATTGTATTTTGTGAGAAATAATAATAGAAACAATTTCATTAAATCAAACCACAAACATCAATTGTCGTGTTATTCTGTGTGTGTGTGCTTCATCACCGTGCATAAGGAGAGCATGACTACAGTTACATATCGTATTGTTGTTATTGTTATTCTTATAAAGGAGATCTCTTCGTCAGTCGTTTGTTATTGTTGTTTTACGATAAACGTTAGAGAATAATTTGAAGTAACAAAGCAAAAATATGACTCTCTTTCAACTATGGCTGATAAAATATAATTCGTGAGAAAAGAGCTAATATTAAGGAAATGTAAAGAGAGTTAATGCAAATCTAATCAGACTCCGTCCGTTAAAATTTGTTTATTTGCCAGTTGGATTTATATTAAAAGAAGCATTTTAATCAATTACAAAGGTGGAAAAGTTGTGAAAAAGCAATATGTAAGACAAAATTAAATTTAATATTCTTCGTGGCGTTTAATTGTTTAAATATTTTTTAAAATACCAACAGCATTTAAAAAACAAATATAGAGAAAATTAGCAAAAAAAAAAAAAAAAAAAAAAAAATTAATTGAATCAAACCAATGTCCAATACAAATTGACGTTTTAATACACAGAGTATATGACTGATTAATGGTGATTAATATGTCCGCACGTACAATGAAAAACTTCGATTAACATAGTTCTATATATTTTCACACAAACTAGTGTGTAAATTTAAAGGATACGGAGTAAATGTATGTACATACTTCCATCGTATTTTTTCAACAAACAGCAGTAGGTTACGTAAAAAATTAGAATTGTCAAAAGTGTGTTTTGAAAAATATAAAAACCATTTCTAAACGAGACCATTTTTGTTGCCGTTTTAATTATCATTGTCATCGAATTGTTTTGAAAAAAATAAATTAATATGTCGTCTAGTCTCATTTTTAAATCGTTCACATTGAATACGCAGCGCGAGTGTAGTTAACATTTCAAACATTTATAAAGACACAATAATTAAAAAAATACGAGTACGAGAAGATAAGTCTTGTTCCACCATTACACCAAATGTGATGCATTTTAAATTAATGTTGATTTTGCTGGTTCCCTGTAAGAAATTTCTCAATCACGTAAGTTTATATAGTTTTCTGTATTAAAGATTTTTGTAAATATATGTAGAATAATAAGAATTATGTAGATTGAAGAGCTATTTCTCAAGACTAAACTTCATCTGAACTCTAAATACACAAATTTCCGAAATCGCCGCTTAATTTGAATTTGAAATTAAATACATTATATTACGATTCATAGCTTTTAGATAGATAGAATTTTCAAAAGCCTGAATTCTATTTGTAACGTCATGGTATAGTTGGGATGAAAGCCCTTGGCTAGCATATTAAGAACCCAGAAGGACATCATTGGTCAAGTTTTTTAGTTGTGGCGTGATTCATTTTTGGAATTCACTGTGTGTTGTTTACACTTCACACATACACTTCACCTCCGAAGTTACCTCCTGTTCTGGTTCTCACGTGAATTGAAATTTTCAACTGCGACAAAAATAAACGCCAACATTATAAACTGTATTCGTTTTTAACATGGTTTCTCTAATTTTTTACTAATTTCGTTAGTTTTAACGATAATTTTGCTATTATTTTTTAATATTTTATTATTCACAACATAAAATATATGTATGAAAGACTCTGTAACATAATTAATTTGTTGATTGATTTAAGAGTATCATTTGGTAACCCTGTCTTCTTTGGCCTTACTTCAAATCAGCTGTTTGTGTCAAGCGAGCAATCCAGTTGAAGAAAATGGAACACAAACATTAGCATCTATTTAAAATATGTTTTTAAAGACGTTTTATCTTAATTTTCAGATTTTAAACAAATTATACGCAATAATAACATATTAATCTATAATCATGTGCCTTTATATTTCAAAAAAGATTTTCTTTTATATAGAAAAACACGAATACACCCGACTCTCACTATGAAAATGTAAGTGTAAAGAATACACCTCAAATGGGCGTAAAGTGTGTTACAGAACACCTCGGCGTGTATTCGATACCCTTCTGCCCTTGAAGTGAATGCCAGAGCATGTCCTCCTTCTATCTCGAGTCGTTGTTCGACTTTATCCTCATTTTCTTGAACCGTATACTAAATGAAATAAAACAACCATTTTTGTTCTTTAAATATTCTACAAAAATGTCGCTCATAAGTTTTCAAATATTTTTCTCACAAACAAAAAGTCGAAATTCGTAAATTACATAGTCATTTTCTTTAGGATATTGAAGGAAAAATTTAGTATTTGTAATAGTATATTTAATGTTGTCAGGGTATTATAGCTTTGTGCAGCCCCAAAAGTTTGTAACGCCGCGAAATATTGGTCCTAGACCCACCTTCAAGTATACCGATCGTCATATCTCGACTAGCTGAGTCGATCTAGACATGTGTGTCCGTCCATCTGTTCATTATTAATTGTAAACACGATACAGGCCACAGTTATGGACCAATCTTCTAAAGATCGGTTAATATTTAGGGTATGAAATGGACCAAATACTAAATTTTTGTCGGTTTTTCTGGTCGCTCCAGCGGCCGCAAATATGGCCCGAACATCGTAGAGTAGGGGATCGGGCCAAAGAATGAGCATGCCTGTTTTGATAAAGATCAGTCAATATATAGCGGGTCAAATGGACCCTGACTTTTGTGTGAAAAATTACAAAATTTGTATTCTATGGCGAATATATTTACTCCCGAAGGACATAGACTCGAGAAGTTGATAGTATATTCAAGAGGAGTGGTTGCCCTTTAAATTGATACCAATTATATTGTCGTATGTACTCGGATGTGGGAGTTACACGTAAATATTTACAGGTGCTTACGTACTCAGACATTTTTTAGTAATCCATTACCACACTAGAGGGCGGAAATATATCTCTGATTGTTAAAATACAAGGGCAAAATCTCACGAATGAAATAGCTTAAATGTAGACAACTTCAATGAAAACCAAACTCCCCATTTGATTAACCCGGCATACTTTGCGTCTTTACGCCAACAGTTACTTTTCCCTAAATTGGCAACACAGTTTTGTCTTTTTTAAGTGGATTAATCAGTTACAAATCATTAAACAACTATAAATAATTAAATAATTTCCAAAAATCTAAGCACAAACATCAGTTGTTGATGCCTTCGTTTTATTCTGTGTGTGTGCTTCGTCTCCGTGTATAACGAGAGAAAGACTACAATTACATCTCGTATTGTTGTTATCGTATTATAACCGAGATCTCTTGGTCAGTAATTTGTTATTGTTGTTTTACGATAAACGTTAAAGGAAGTACACTAAGCATAAACGACTCTCTTAAAATTTCGGTAAATAAAATATTATTTCGGGCGACAAATTAATCAAATGTGAAAAGAGTTAATGAAAATCTAATCAGACCCCATCCGTTGCACTTTGTGTGTGCTTTCTAATAAGAGCATTTGGCTGGAGGGCATGTATTAAGAGAATTTGTTCAGACAAAAACAAAACTATCAATGATGGGAAAATAATGAATAAAGAGAAAATTAAAACAAGTATTTTCAGTGATTTTTGACTACTTACATACTTTTATTACATGAAGTTGTACGATGATCGTCTTCATTAGAAAATATAAAAACAATAATAAAGCAAACCGTTTACAGTTTTTTTTTTTAAATCGATCAAATGTAATACGCAACGCATGTGTTGTTAACATTTTAAACGTTTTTAATTACGTGGGTTATGGTGATGTACGAGAAGATTATATGGTATTCTACCATTATGTCAAATGTGCTGCTAACATGAAACATTTCCACTAAAAGTTGATGTTGTTTTTTTTCCAATAAGGAGTGCGTCCATATTTGTAAGTTAATATTATTTTATATATATTAATGATTATTTAAAAAATGAGGTACTGAGTTGTCAAACTTTGTTGAACAAAATGATAGATTTAATGTTAATGATAAAACATTTAAAAAAAGTGCCAAAGAAAAGTGCTAAAATATTATTAAAAATGCATTTTTATGGTTAATAGTGAGATCTTAATTTCTTAAAAATTCACTATACCTTCCACTGCTAGGTGTAGAGAATATTAAAATTGTTTGCAACACCTTTAAGACCCTGCTTATTCTGAATCATTACAAAGTTCAATGTCAATTTAGCTATGTCCGTCTGACAGTTTAAATGCTACTACTCCCAGAATTGTTGGTAATGAAAATGGAATATATCGGTCCTTTATATTCCCCAACTACTGTAGCCAAATATTCGATATTTCGAAGCTTTAGGGCACGTTTTCATAATTTGCTGTAATTTTATATTTTGAGTTCTCCCTGTGTAGAAAATCTTCGAACTAAATATTATTAATATTGATCAACTTTTTAGGTTTGCTCCATAAACAGGCTTTATAATCAAAGTGACTCTATTTCGATATTTTGTATTCTCGTTGAGTAGAAATTCTCTCTACCATAAATTATTATGGGTCCAAAGTGACTCCAACTTTATATTTTGGAATCTCATTGGACAAAATATCTTCCTACCAAGAATTACCAAGATTGGGCTGTTTCCCATAGACGACATTTTGTCCATGAATGTCGTCCATGAATGAACTGTAATTTAATATTTTTTATTCTAATGGGGTGTTATATCTTCCCCCAAAAAACTGTCACTCATTCCGTCCTATTTGCGCACTTTCAAGGTTTTTATACCCTTCACCACACTGTGGTACAGGGTATTATGTCTTTGTGCATATGTTTGTAACAGGCAAAAATAATCGAGATAGACCCATGGTTCCTTTTGAGAATATGCATAGAATCACTTTCTGAATCGATTTATGCATGTCCGTCCGTCCGTCCGTCTGTCCGTCTGTTGGTGTTAAATTGTAAACAAAGTACAGGTCGCATTTATGATCCGATTTGGATGAAATTTGGCACAGCTCATTTGTTTGGCCCAAGGACGAACCCTATTGAAATTGGGAAAAATCGATTCAGATTTAGATATAGCTCCCATATATATTTTTGCCCGATTTACGGACTTTAGACCCTGAAAATCTTTCGATTTGCACGAAATTTGGCATAGCGTACTGAATTGAGCCACGAAAGATGTGTGCCAAGTTTCGTGAAAATCGGTTCAGATTTATATATAGCTCCCATATATAGTTTCGCCCGATGTACGGACTTTAGACCCTGAAAATCTTTCGATTTGCACGAAATTTGGCATAGCGTACTGAATTGAGCCACGAAAGATGTGTGCCAAGTTTCGTGAAAATCGGTTCAGATTTAGATATAGCTCCCATATATTTTCGGCCGATTTTTGGTAAATGACGTACCAAAGTCCCTATATATCTTTCGATTTGCACGAAATTTGGCATAGCGCACTGAATTAAGTCTAGAATGATGTGTGCAAAGTTTCGTGAAAATCGGTTCAGATTTAGATATAGCTCCCGTATATATCTTCCTCCGATTTAAGGTAAATGGTGTACCAAAGTCCTTATATATCTTTCGATTTGCATGAAATTTGGCATAACGTACTGAATTGAGGCTAGAATGATGTCTGCCCAGTTTCGCGAAAATCGGTCCAGATTTAGATATAGCTCCCATATATAGTTTCGTCCGATTTCATGTTAATGGTGCCCCAAAGTCCCTATATATCTTTCGATTTGCAGGAAATTTGGCATAACGTACTGAATTGAGCCTAGAATGATGTCTGCCCAGTTTCGAGAAAATCGGCCCAGATTCAGATATAGTTTCGTCCGATTTCATGTAAATGGTGCACCAAAGTCCCTATATATCCTTCGATATATTTGGATAGAGCTTCCATATATATTTTCGCCCGATTTTAAGTAAATTGGACATCAAACTCTTCATGCTAGTCAGGTTGACATCAAATTTTGCACAACGTACAAAATTGAGCATAGAATTACGTAGTTGCGTTTTCTAGAAGTACAGATATAGCCCAACAGATAACCTATTTATATTTGATTGAAGTCGATATATATAACATATGGATATATAGGTAGATTCACATTTAGATAAATATCACATATTTTATTTCATCCAATTTCATGTTAATAGTCCTGTTTAATATATCCATAGTGGTGAAGGGTATCATATAGTCGGCCCCGTCCGACTTTACTACTTCCCTTACTGGTTTGAATATGCTAATTCTTTTGAATGTTTAATGATTTATGTGTACAGGTTTGTCGATGATGTCTTACTATAAATGTGATCAAATATATTTATAATAATGAGAGACATCTGGTCACTAGGTACTTATTTTATTGTAAGCATTCGGGGAATTCTCTTTAAATTTTCTTAGGACGTTACCGAAAAAAATGTGAAGTGTATATTAAATTTGTCAATCAATATTAAGTCCCGGTCAATATTATTTTTTATCACAATAATGTTATATGCCGGTTCTCCAATTTAAAGATGTGCAATTTTGAACATCGACTGTTACAAACCCTAAGATGTTTGGTATTGAAAATGTGATAAATCGGTCCACTTGTTTATGTAACCCAGAATGTTTGGGATTTTGAGCTCGTTTTCAATCGAATTTGATATTTGGGGTTTCTTTAATTGTTAAATCTTTCTACATAAAATGTACCAAATTGATAACTTCTAAATTGTGTATGTTATGAATGGAGTATTCGATTTGGAACTACAACTACACAATTTAAGCATACCTTTGTATTTATACTAACCATATATTCTCTACAATTTCTGTTACATCCCCCTCACAGGTCAAGATTAGTATATACTACACTCGATATGACATAGGCTGAGGGTATATATTTGTCGGCAACACTGACTGACACCTTTTTACATGTTTTATACTCTACACAACTCAAGAGTTAGTGTGTCCGTCTATCCATTAAAATTTGTAAACACGATACAGGCCTCAGTCATGGACCAATCGTCGCGAAATTCTGCATGTAGGTCCGGTTCTGACTAAAGATGACGCTCTAAGGCCACAATTATGACAAGAATATCACACAATCTTATGCGGAGGAAGGTATCTGACTAGGGAACGAGCATGACTATTTATATGTTAATTGATCAATATTTAGCGTGTTAAATGGACTCAGCCTTATGTGAAAAAACGGAAAATTTTACATTATCCAAGAGTAGTGGTTGACCGTTTCATTGATAGCAATTATATTGATACATGCACTCGAATTTGGGAGCTATAGGTTTACTCTACCAAATGTCCAATATTAGGACATACACTTAAGCCTATAAGTGGCTTGTTGTGCGGAAGAAATTTAGAAGAAGTCATCATTGGATTTGATTGTCATAAGCTCCTAGGAATTCTGTTTTGTTTTTGAAGTTCTTCAGTTTTTTTTTTATTATTCGCATTTCCTAAGAATTGGGTTAGGAAGCCTGAGAAGGCTGGGCAGTGACACAGGAAATATTCTCACGTTTCGCTGTCATCTCCACACGCTCTACACCTGTTGTGTATGTGTGCATGCAGGCAGGAATTTGGTGGGTCAATGTTGCCTATTACCTCAGTTCTAGACGCTTTACACCAAAAGGTTTGACATTATTTACATATATTGTAGGTCGAGCGGTTGTACTTCTAGCGAATATATTTGCTATCTCGTTTCCTGCTATTCCGATGTGACTCGGTACGAGACATTGAGTATATTTGAATTGTTTGATAAGCAGCAGCAATTGGATTTTCCAAGAATTATTCAAATTATAATAAATATTTTTTTTTAAAACAAGATCAAGATTCGAATAAAAAACAACAACTACGATGCAACTATCGATCAAAAATAATAAAATTTCACACGTTTTGTTTTTTGGTTAGGCAGACAAACTAGTCCGTGCTTAGTGATTCATAAATGTTTTGTTTTGATCACCAACATAACGCCATGGCTATCTATGGACTACGTGTTGTTAATCAGTGGCTGGAGCATCATCTAGTTTAAGCCACTGTTAGAAAACCAGTTTTTTGTTGTTGCTAATAAAACATAAGTTTATTCTAAAGTCAATAATAGCGGCAGTGTGATGCGTAAATCATCGAAGTCATCTAGATTGAGATTTGACCAAAACTTGGGAAATCCCATACATTGCAAGTTCATTTTCAAGTTGAGGGTCATAGAAGACATTGACACGAGCTGCGACGATGATAACATTAGTAAAAGTTTAGTTTTGGAAATTAAATATTTTTAAAGTTCTGTTTTGATTCTTGTTCTAGTGGTGGCAAATAAAAGCAGCGTATTTTTGCAATTTCCGCAAAATATTAAATTTTTAAATTTGGCAGAAATGAAAATAAACATACGTTTTAGTCTTTCGAGGGAAAATAATTTGTGTGGGTGTAGGAGTAAAACAAAATTAAAGAATTGTTTTAGTATAAAAACTAATATTCTTCGTAAGATTGGGACATTAAAACTCAAAACATAACAGCGATTAAAAGAGTTCGGCAAAACGTTTAAGACAATATACAAAATCTTTAAAAAATGTTTTCAAAGGTATGTTGAACAAAAATTTGATTTTTTTGAAATTTCTTAACAATGTTTATCGTAATTTTTTAGTGTTTGAAACTATTCATTGTGGCTCTTTGTGTCAGCTCAGCATTTGGCCAACTTCCAGGTCAGAGGCCGGGTGGTTTATTAGGTGGCCTACTGGGTGGCGGTAATAATGGTGGACTTTTTGGCAATATCTTAGGTGGTGGTAACAACAACAATGGCGGTGGTGGAGGTCTCTTTGGTGGCTTAATAAGTAACATTTTGGGCGGTGGCAATCGTAACCCTGCTGGATCGGTACAACCTCCAGTTGCAGCCCCACAACCACCAGTTGGTGCTCCTGTGCCACATCCACCAATTGCTGCCCCAGCACCACCTAATCATGGTTATCCTGCGTATGGCGGTTACCCAAGTGTTGGTCTTCCCAATACGGGTTACCAAACTGGAGGTTACCCTGGTGCTTATCCAAGTGCGGGTTATCCTAGTGCAGGCTATCCAAGTGTTGGCTATCCTAGTTCTGGTTATCACGGTACAGGTTATCCAGGTGCTGGTTATCACAGTGGAGGTTACCCAAGTAGCGGTTATCCCAGTGCCGGTTATGGTCAATTTGGTGGTTATTATGGCTAAAAACCAGAATACTGTTATTCTCTTTTTGTTGGAAAGTATTAAACATATAAACATGTTTGTTAATAGTTTTTAAGCAACCTCATTTTGTTATATTGTTACTCACATATTTTCTTTATATATCACATTGACAAAAATACAGTTTTTTGAAAATACTATTTTGCAGTAGTTGTTTGTTATTTTCCCTACGATCTGGGGGCGAGGTGGGGGTGTATGAAAAACCCAGAAGGAAAAATCCACCATTTGTCAAAATGCGTTCATGACATGTCGCTCTGCAGGATCGAGGTCATTGTCTGGGGGCGAGATGGGGTTGTATGAAAAACCCAGAAGGAAAAATCCAACATATGTCAAAATGCGTGCATGACATGTCGTTGTGCATGTCCACCATGAGGTGAATATATATTAAATTGATCACTCTGTTGCAATACCTGGAAATATATTCTTGATCTGAATATATCGAACTAATTAGTTTAAATAGAATTTCGTAATACTCATACAGTCGAATTATAACCATATATCGATTATAACAACGTATCAAAAAGTCCCGAAAAAGTTCCGGCCCTTATTTGATATAATTTTCATCGTGAGGAATTAAACGCTTTTTTATTTTTCCAACGGTAATCACCGGTGACGAAACATGGCGCTATGCGTATGAGTCCAAATGTGGCGACTTTTTCGCTTTAGCAACGTAGGACGTCCTATTCTTATAGGTGCACCACAATTTCTTAACCTGAAAACATGCTTAAATTCGAAATGGCCCATACATCGAAAAACTTCTGACAGAAATATTTTCCCCCTTCAAGAGCATGTTAAGCCAAAATACAACCATTTCGGTGAGCAAATGCGGTTAAAACTACGGAAAATCGGGCTAGACATTGACGTGGGCGTTATGTCAAAACGTGGACCTATATAGACTATTTTTAATAAAAAGTGTGTCACCCTACATGAACCGAGTGTGCCATATTACAGGCACTTTGCGACTAAAACCTTCAAAATACCGAAAATGGTTCATTTTCTTTTTTATATCTACAATCGAAAATAGTCTGGAAAGACGTTTTTACCCTATGTGAATACGGAATGCCAAATAATGGCCACTTCGGTGTGGGAAATTTGTAAATTAACGAAAATGGGCCGGAAAACTTAATGTAGGAGAACTTACATTAGAATCAATTCGGAATAGAGCTCCAAAATAAAGAATAATGGGAGATCGTAATGTCTCGACTAGCTGAGCCGATCTATGCATGTGTGTCCGTCCGTCCGTCTGTCCATTATAATTTATAAAAACGATACAGGCCACAGTTATGGTCACGAATTTTTGCATTTAGAATGGGTTCTGGCCAAAGAAGGCCCCTATTGTTTTTGGTAAGGTTACGTTAATATTTAGGTGATGAAATGGACCAACAACTAATTTTTTTTCTTTTTTTGGTCGCTCTAGAGGCCACAATTGTGACCCGAACATCACGAGCGGGTCAAATGGACCCCGATTTTTGTGTAAAATGACAAAATTTGTATTCTATGGCGTATATATTTACTCCTGAAGGACATAGACCCGAGAATTTGATAATATATCCAAGAGGAGTGGTTGACCTTTAAATTAATCGTAAATATTTAAAGGTGTCTATGTGTTATGATATTGTTTAGTATTACAATCACCTCACCAGAGGGCGGAAATGTCGTATTGATCGATTTGAAATTTTACATGAGGTTCCGGTTAATGTCAAGGACGACACCTATAATGTGATTTTTATGGGTTGAAATAAAACTTTATTTTTGTCAGATTTTTAGTCGCTCTAGAAGCAATATGCATATATGACATATTTTACAAGGTGGATGGGATCTGACCAAATACTTATATGATGATCGGTCAATATTCCGATGGTCAAATCAACGAATCGGAAATATTGACCGCACATCGGGGAAACAAAATTTGGAAAATTGCCATGAATTAAAAATGGAGCTGTTGAGTGCAAATATCGCGAAATTTTGCCCTGGCTCAGAATATAGATCTGTCTGACGTTCTAATTCTTGATATAAATACAAAATTAGCCAGTCCGCTAGTTTTCATCCCGTCTGTCAGTTAAAATCGTAATATTTTAGAATGAGCTTTGAAATTTTGCACAGTTATTGATACGACTCCTTGAATATCAACCGATATTACGCCATTCAATAGATTTGTCTCTACACGTTTATTTTTAGGTTATCATTGGATGTTAAATCTTTCCACTTTCCAAATGTTGGTATTTTGGGGAGTTTATGAAAATCGTTCTACTAAATTGGCTGTATTTTATATATTGAATTATTATGGGGTTTGAAAATCTTCCTACCAATCTTCCTATGACCAAAGTCCCTATATATCCTTCGATTTGCACGAAATTTGGCACAGCGTACTTAATTAAGCCTAGAATGATGTGTGCTAAATTTCATGAAGATCGGTTCAGATTTATACATAGCTCCCATATATATTTTCGTCCGATTTAAGGTAAATGGTACACCAATGTCCCTAAATATTGATTTGCGCCAAATTTGGCACAGCGAACTGAATTAAGCCTAGAATGATGTGTGCTAAGTTTCGTAAAAATCGGTTCAGATTTAGATATAGCTCCCATATATATTTTCGTCCACATAGAGTTTTCGTAATGAACTTAGTATAACCTATAAGTTAGATATAAATGCTGCACCGAATTCCCCAGGTGGGTCCGATTGGCACAACATTTTTCACATCTTATTGAAGTTATTATGAGATAACGTGTGGCAAGTTTTGTTGAAATTGGTTCAGATTTAGATATAGTTCATATATATAGTTTCGTCAGATTTTAAGTAAAATGTGCACCAAAGACCCAAAGTTATATAGTTCATAGCATGTGGAAAGTTTTATTTAATTGGTTCAAATTTAGATAGAGCTACCATTTTTCTCCCGATTTTAACTAAATGATGCACCAAGAACTCAAAATATGACCGATATTGTGTGACAAGTTTCGACGAAATCGGCTTAGATTTGGATATAGCTTTTATACATATTTTCGTCCGATTTGAAGTAAATGGCGCACCAAACTCCTCATGTTTATCAGATATGTATCCATATAATCAACGGGTATCCGATTGATATATGCTTTAAATTGATTTACATAATTTTGTCCCATTGAAAAAAAAAACAACTCTATATCTGACCAAATGAAAAATTTAGTATCGGTTGCAGAATAACATGTTTATTGATCCAATTTCATTTTACTGGTCCTTTAAAAATGCGCCGTCTGCTAGGATTAATTTGTTGAATATACCCAAAGTGGTGAAGGGTATCATATAGTCGGCCACGTCCGACTTTACTACTTTCCTTACTGGTTACCTTTTGTCATAGAAGTGGCTGTAATTAAAAAAAGTTGCCGACACCAATATACAGTGTTAGTACATATATTTGTAACAGGCAAAAGGAAACGAGATAGACATATGGTTCCTTCTGAGAATATGCGTAGCATCATTTTGTGAGTCGATTTATGCTTGTCCGTCCGTCAGCTCATGTTTTTTTTGTGAACAAAGTACAGGTCGCATTTATGATCCGATTTGGATGAATTTTGGCACAGTTCACATATTTAGACCAAGTACGAATCCTATTGAAATAGGAGAAAATCAGATTTAGATATAGCTCCCATATTGCATTAAACTCCCAATATTAGTCCAATTGGGACAAAATTTTGCACAGCGCACTGATTCAGGTCCATACTTATGTATGCGAAATTTGGTTGGAATCGGTTCAGATTTGGATATAGCTCCCATATATAGTTTCGTCCAATATTTTGGGAATGATGCACCAAACTCCCAATATTTTTCCGATTTGGATATAGCTCCCATATATAGTTTCGTCCAATCTTTTGGGAATGATGCACCAAACTCCCAATATTTTTCCGATTGGGACAACATTTTGCTCAGCGCACTGAATCAGGTCCAAACTTATGTATGCGAAGTTTTGTTGGAATCGGTTCAGATTTAGATATAGCTCCCATATATAGTTTCGTCCGTTTTTTTATGAATGATACACCAAACTCCCAATATTTGTCCGATTGAGCAAAATTTTGCATAGCGAATGCAATTGAGAAAAAATTATTGTGATAAGGTTTGTTGAAATCGGTTCAGATTTTAATATAGGTTTTATATATTTTTTCGTTCGATTTTATGTAAATGGTGCACCGAATGGTCTATGTTTGTTCGATTTACACGAAATTTAGCGGAGGGTATTAACTTGAATATAAAGTGATAAAAAAAAATGGTGTATGCAACGGTTGCTCAATTAGGTCCATGTATTTATATATAGCTCCCATACATAGTGGTGAAGGGTAACATATAGTCGGCCCGTCCGACTATTGAACTTTCCTTACTGGTTTTCTTGTAAACAAAGTGTAGATCGCATTATGCTAAATTTTGCACCAAAAAACATTACATATTTAAGTTCGTCCAATTTCATGTCAATGTTTTTTTTTTCGAAAATGAGACGACTGGTAGGATGCATGTCTTGAATATACTTAAAGTTGTGAAGGATATTATTAAGAAGGTCCCGTCCGACTTTAATGCTTAAGACTATCACAAAACAATATGCATTTGGTTAAAACCTTCTCAATTTATTTTTAAATTTGATCTACTTTCATTACCCACATTTCAATTTAAAAAAATTTAAATTTTTATAGGCACAAATTTATACAAAAATTTATTATTTAACGTTAAACATTATAATTCAATGAATGAGTTGGAGGGAAATAAGAGTTGGTGAACGATTCCAGCATATTTTTTAAATCTCTCTAAAATTTCCATATTACATGTACCTTGTAGAAAAAATACCCAATTTTTCGTAATGGCGCCAATATTCGCCATTGTTGTTTTTGTCCCTGTATACCAAGGGAAAACCAAGGTAGTTTCTGATTTCCACTAGTCGCCCTGATGGCCCCATGTTGTCTAGGGCCACAAAATTTGCAGAGGGGTTGAGGAACACTTAAATAAGATCCCAATAAAAAAAT